CCGTGGTCATGTGGCTGGCATAACTAAACACCAAGGCGCACGGAACGCTGTTACCTTCCCACCGAAGTGGTCCCTATTTATCTACTTGCAATTTCTTGCTTTCGAACTGCTAGGTTGGCAGGAGCTGGAACTAGAGACGGGAACCCACTCCGTGATGCGGCAACTCAGGTCTCGAACTGCTGAACTACCGACCTTCCACAGTCTGCAGTTCAGCGTCTTGACCACTTGAGCCACCGCAGCTCCAATTAATTATTTACCAAATTTTATATGTATATATATTTAATTAATAAAGTACTGAAACATCTTAGTGTTTGAATTACAATAACAACAATATAAACGTCTATTTATCCTAAAATAATAATCAATCATAGAACTATCTCAAAAAAAAAATACAAGCATAGAGTCCCCTATTTAATCACATTGGTATCCAGAGGAGGACATGAAACAATGTTAAATAATATTCCAAACGTGTTCAAAGAGTCTTCCTTAAATTAATCAAGTAACTGTGGGCGTACATTGATCTTCAAGCTTTGAAAGCATCAGGAAAAAACAGAAAAATCTCTACAGCCTTTCGATAGCATCCGTTTCACCTCTTTTTCAAGAGCTGATAATCCTTTCCTTCGAGTGTTCAGTCTCCACGAATTACAGGATACAGACATTCATACCCAGCTTGAAACACTCTGATGAGACATTGTGAATTATGAGGTAAACGTGTTCCATTATGAATGTATCCTGTAATTAGTGGAGACTTGGAAATGACATCATCCTGTTGCCTGCGTCAGAGGGGTGACACTCTAGTTTTTGGGCAAAACTCTATGGTGCTTTGCCTTCAAGACCATAGAGTTTGCCCAGAAATTAGAGCGTAACCCCCCCAACATCAGTAATGTGATGACATCACTTCTGTGTGACATAATCACGGACGTCCCTGTTTGGGGCTGGGGTTCCCCCACTGGCCAGTTGGCTGGTGGCAGTTAAAAGCCCTGAGAAATGGGGGAACCTCCGCTGGGACCTGGGGGCTCGGAACCCTAGATATGTGATGGGAAGACTCGTCCGAAGGTGTCAACTTCTGTCTTGCCTCTGCATTGGGCATTACGACACATGCTTCAGAGTGAAGAGGCAGGACTTGTCCCTTAGAGGGAGGCCCATAGCCTTTCCCCCCCAAAGCGACCCACGCCCTTCTCCTCCCCTCCGTTTTATCCTCACAACAACCCTGTGAGGTTAGGCTGAGAGAGAGTAACTGGCCCCAGGTCACCCAGCGAGTTTCTTCCTGCTGGATTGTGAAAGTATTCAAGAGTTCCTCTTGGGCATGGTGGGTGCTTCCAGCAACTCGCTTGGGGCCCGTCGCGACCGACTTTGCTTTGTCCCCGTTTAGCTCCTCCCGCACATCCCCCGCGTGGTGTCCTCCTTAATCCGGGAAGACTCCAACTCGGCCGCCAGCTGTTTGGAACAGCTGGCCGAACTGGTCCACTGCATGTTCTTCCGCTTCTCCGGATTCCCGGACCTCTACGAGCCTGTTGTGGAAGCCATAAAGGTAACTGCTTCTTTTGTCATGGCACATATGGTTGAAATGGTCATTTGAAATGGCTGAACTCTGAGTTCAAGTCCTGCGTGAGCCATACGTACATGTGCGGAATGTTTTTGAGCAAGCCAGTGTCTCTTGGCCTCAGAATCTGAAGAAGCGTGCCTGCACACGAAAGCGCATACCCAGAATTAAACTTTGTTGGTCATGAAGGTGCCACTGGACTCCAACTTTGTTCTATCGCTTCAGACCCATTTGAATCTCTCTTGGCTTCAGTGTACCTCCGTGTATCATTCTCAGAGAGAATGCAAGCTGTGTTAGCCGAAGCTGGAAAGCTTACGGACTGGCACAGGAAGGGGTACGGTGAGATGCCCTGTCAGGTACATCCACACACATGGAGCTGCCTTTTACTGAGTCAGATCTCGGTCTAGCAAGGCCAGTATTGTCTACTCTGACTGGCAGAAGCTCTCTGCAATCTCAGTTCGAGGTCTTTCACATGACCCGCTCTCTTTAATTGGAGAACTAGATTTGAGTCCAGGAGTGCCTTAGAATTGACAAGACCTTTGGGAACTTTGACTCTCCGTAACTGATACCCCAAAAATCTTACTGGCCTCCAGGGCTATTTTTGGGCAGGAACGCACAGGAACGGAGTTTCGGCTGGCTCCCGAGTTGGCCACGCCCAGCAGGAACTCATTAGCATAACAGGCCACGCCCAACAGCAGAAACTCATTAGGATTGGCTACATTAGGGTTGTGTGGCCTAACATGCAAAGAAGTTCCTGCTACAAAAAAAGCTCTGGGTTTTGACAACAAACAAGATAAACACAATAAGAATCAAAAGGTGGGTGTGGCTTGATGACCACATTTCTGGTAACATGGGGGTGTGGCCTAATATGCTCATGAGCGGTACTGTTGGGGTGTGGCCTGATATGCTAATGAGTTTCTGCTATTGGGTGTGGCCTATTATGCTAATGAGTTCCTGCTGGGCTTTTTCTACAAAAAATACCCTGCTGGCCCCTAAGGCGTTGCTAGACTCAAATGTAGCTGTTCTACTGTAGATCAACCTAGGATACCTTCTGAAACTATCTTTTTAAAAAAATGTATTTTTTTCGTGTGTGTGCACACGCGTGCGCACACCTGGAAGTCATGGGAATCTCTGGTGACTGACCTCTACTGGGGGCCTGGAGGATATTCAGAGAGGTGACTGAATAAAGCCTGCCCCTGCCCTTCTGGCTCTGGTATTCCAAGGAGGTCTCCCATACAAGCACTTGCTTGCCAGAGTCGACCCTGCTTAGCTTCCGAGATCTTACAAGATTGGGCTTGCCTGGGCTATCCAGGTCAGGGCTGAAACTATCTTTAATCGGAGACTGAAACCGGGGCATTCCGCTTGCCGAGCACACGTTCTGCCTTTGCCCTTTCTCGGTTTTGCTTCCTGGGGTTTCCTTTCCTAGCTAGAGCAAGTCCTTTTTTCTTTTCCTTTTTCTGAGCAAGTCTTAAGTGCCTAAAAGAGGCAGTTCATCTAACTCGTTTCACTCTTGTCTTCTTTTCGAGGCACTCCCGATTCCAAACGAAGACCGCATTAAGCACCTGCTCGGCCAGAACGCTTGGACCTCGCAGAAGAACGAACTGGCCAGTTTCTATCCCCGCCTGGCTTCCAAATCGGAAACGGGGAAGATCGGGTTAATTAACCTGGGCAACACCTGCTACATGAACAGCATCATTCAAGCTCTCTTCATGGCCTCGGAGTAGGTGTCTTCCTGGCCTGTATTTCCTCCGCCTGCTTCCAAATCAATGAGTTTGCTTTTCGTACGGCCGGTTCAGGGCTGTTATCAGGAAAGACGAGCCACTGGCGGCTGTCATCGGGCTCTGAAATTCATGTCGTACACCGTCCAAGCTTTAAAAAACTTGTTTTTTGTGGTTAAAGTGTGGGAGGAGAGAAAAAGCAGTCTAAGCTCGTTGAAAAAAGATTGGTAAGGAGTTTTTGAGGGGTGGAAGGAATGTCTACGACAGGGGTCCCCAGCCTTTTCTAGCCTGTGCGCACCTTTTGAATTCTATAAACATGAATGATAAATTAGCTGTTGTAGATTTTCCGGGTTGTATGGCCATGGTCAGAGGTCATTTTGGGGGGGGGGATCGCAGGGGATCGCAGTTCCCCCGGGTGAGGTACAGGGGGGCGGGGCACATGACGAAGCCCCGCCCCCTGCTTCCGGCCGCCTCGCTTCCAGCCCTCATGCAGCCAGGAGGAGGCAGGAGAAGAGGGAGGGTAAGTTGCTTCCTCCCTGCCTCTCCCCACCCCTGCCTGCCTGGGGCCAGGGAGGGCCTTTGTAGGGCTTCTTTGCACTCCCGCCGGCCTTGCAGGTCCACCGCCGGGCCCCTCATGGGGCTCGGCAGTGGAGCTGCAAGGGCGGCGGTGGCGGCCGGGACCGTTGGGGGCGGGGTGTGGCCTTATGACACACTTCCAGTGATGTCAGAGGGTGTGGCCTTATGACACACTTCTGGTGATGTCAGGGGGTGTGGCATATGATAATGAGTTATGCTAATGAGTTCCCCTAGCTCTTTTTCTACGAAACGACCCCTGGCCATGGTCATGGCATTGTAGGACCTGACGTTTTGCCTGTAGCTGTGACTGGCATCCTCAGAGGTATAACACAGAAAGACGGAGTACTCTCTGTGTCAAGGTGAGACAAAAATGGTAGGCAGTAAATTTATATCTACTCCAGAAGGTGGGTAAGGCTGAGTCATTATCTTGTAGGAGTTCCCCAGGCTGTGAACATGCTAATGGAGGAGCTTTCCTGAGGAGGTTCTTTTGTATATGGATTGTTTATCTGCCTGCCATTTTCTTCTCACCTTGACACAGAGAGTACTCCATCTTTCTGTGTTATACCTCTGAGGGTGCCAGTCACAGCTACCGGCGTAACGTCAAGTCCTACAATGCAAAGACCATGGCCATACAACCCGGAAAATCTTCAACAGCTAATGAACTCCGGCCGTGGAAGCCTTCGACAACATAATAATGATAAACACAGTCTAATGTGATGAACAAAAGGATAAAACAACCGTGAACATCAGACCCCAAAGTATCAACAGTCAAACCACTTGTAAATGCAATAATTAATGTCTATTTGAGGTGCATACAACCCTATTCTAATAAATCATAAGAACAATCCCATTTTTCTTATGATTTATTGATACTGTGTTTTGCACATTTGTGAATTGTGCACATTCCAAACAAACATCACAAAGTGCATTTTGTACATTTGTGAACGGTATGCACCATTCACGGTTGTTCTTTCATTTTGCTCGTCACCTTTTGAATTCCGACATAAGGTGGTAGGCACTACTACAAAATGGCTGCCGCAAAAGGCAGAGCCAACCATAAAATGGCTGCCACGGGAGGCGGAGCCAGCCACAAAACGTCAAAGAGTGAGGTTATGCATAACTCTCAGTAACTCCTCAACATTTCAGGCAGATGCTCTGTTCAACGGAATTCTAAAACCAACATATTGTTATAAAATACTTTCTTGTATACCCACCACTAATCAAAAGCCCTGGTGGGCAGAAACCCCACCCACTTTTTAAAACATTTGTTGGGGGCCAGGAAAGGTGTCGGTAGGCACCATCGTGCCCCTGGGCGCTACGTTGGGGATACCCTGGTAGGGTATCGGGCAGGTGCTTGGGGAACAGGACTATCTCCTTGTCTCCCATTGGGTCAATCTTTGCCTTCGAAGATAAATGGGGTACGTTTCAGTGACTGTTTCTTTTTGCACAATTGTGTTTCCAGCTTCAGGCGCTCGGTGCTCAGTTTGGCAGAGAACAACTCCCAGCCCTTGATGGCAAAACTCCAGTGGCTGTTTGCCTTCCTAGAGCACAGTCAGGTAACTTTTATTTCTTCAAAAAGCTTCTCTCTTTCCCATAAAAAGGCCCTGGGTCACTAGCTTACAAAAATAGGCCTACAAGCAGG